TGGGCGGTGGTGGTGACGATGGCTTTGGCGGCTGCATCGATCAACGGATGGCGCAGTTCTTCGGCGCGATAGCTGGGATTGACCGGGCAGACGACACCGCCGATGGCCAGGGTACCCCAGATCAGCGGGGGCAGGTCAATGGCATTTGGGGCGAAGACGACGAGCACGTCACCTTGTTGCCAGGACCATTTGGATTGGAGGTGGTGGCCGAAGTGGAGGGCGCGTTGGCGGATTTGTTGGAAGGAAAGGCTGCGGTTGGTGAGGGGGTCGACGAAGAGGGCTGTATGGGATTAGATTTGTTGATATCTGGCATGATGCGATAGTGGAGACATACGATGGGAGAGTGGATACGGCCTATCTGAACGCTCGAAGAGGGACGACCAGAGGTCAGTGGAGGGGATCTCCACGTCGGGGAATGGAGATACGGAGATGGAAGCCATTGCGTAGTACCAGTGGAAGATAGATAAAAAGTATTGGGACAGGGGACTGAAGGAATAATAAATATTGGACTAGTGTAATTGAGCCCGGGACTGTCATGCAAGAAAGTGGATCATGTAGTTTCACGGGCCATCTCTTTGTTGCCTTTATGACGGAAATGGAAGCCGGCAGCCTGCACTCATAACAGTTGGCTCGTAGTTCTATTGTTAGGGATTTCTTCTCCGATATAAATCATTGTTTCCAGCAATGGCATCACAAGTGGGCTGGCCACATACTCTGTTGTATTGCACGCACCGAGACGACGGCATGATCGGGCCGAGGTGATGCTGGGATGACTTGCTATCGCCGGGCCATCCGAGTGATCGTCAATACGTGATCATCCTATTATAGTTAGTGCATGTAGGCTTACACTGCAGCAATATAACTGCAGCTCATTCCAGATCGAGTTTTAAGATACTCCGACGAGCCGAGCTGAGTCTGTGGCGAAGACTCACTATCCTGCCATTGTCGGTCCAGGATCAATGGCGTTGGCCAACCCTAACAATTTGCGGTACAGACCAGTGCAGTCTTTATTGAATTATAAAGTAAACAGCATCCAGAGAAATGCAATCTTCGACGCAATATACTTGTATTGTTCCTTTTTCCATATAGCATTATCTGCGATCTTTGGATCTCGAGTAGGATCTGATGACTTGTCTGTCTGCATTATCGCCAAATCATCGGCCCACCTCAGCCGCATTTTCACATGCAACATCAGCCGCAATCCCCGGTCACAGACCAGATCTCACCCTACACAATTGGATCATTTTATCAGACTAACCTGGTCTTGCATAACATGAGCTAACTAGCACAACTCAAACAATCAATGCATCCGCCAGACATAGCCTGTTAACGGGCAACTTGCACCTTGCCCTGTGGTGAGGGCCGTAGCTCAGTATCCACCATTTGACTCTGTTTCCATCTCTGAGAGTACTCTTCTCGGACTATTAGATGTGAGTTTGTCCCGTGTACTCAAATCACTGCCAGATAGACGAACAGGTCTCTTACACGAACTGTATCGGTTCCCTCAGGTGTAATATGCAGGCATTGTGAACAGTATGCACATTGATTGACGTGCTCAGCACGAAATTATGCGGATTCTATGGATTGTGCTTTTATATACATTAAATCGCCTCCCATTAGTCGTCTAGTCATCCAATCTTTTTTTCCTTCAAGTACTCTATGCATTGTTGGCGCACGAAAAGCTGGCCCGAGAAGAGTCGTCGTGGATCGCCTTGCCGGACGCGTACAGACCAAGACCACACTACACAATTAGCAAAAGCTCACATTATGATGAATGGGAGAAAACTTACCATAGCACCACCAATGGCAAAGATGAGCATGTTGATGATGGTCAGGGCGCACTTCTTCGGGCTCGACCACCACTGGCCGTAGTTCATGTGCAACCAGTAGGCACCCGGCAGACCGAAACTGAACCAACTGGCAAACAGCGAACTAATCAGACTGACCAGGTTGCTGAAGGAGGGGATACCCTCGCCGATGATCCAAGCAATCACCCAGCAGGTCACACCAATACCGATCCAGGATCCCACGGAGACCCAGTCGTTCTTGTGCATGCGTCCCGACTTGCGGAAGATGCGCACATAGATGTACTTGAGACCAACATGTCCGTTGACCACACCAGCACCAATGATCTACACACATCAGATCTAATCCTCGAACACAAAGAGGGGTGGACTCACAGTAGGAATGGCCATGCCGTAGGCCACCTTCTTCAAGACAGGACCAGCCGATCCCAGAGCCGGCGAGTCAACTCCGTTACCCACATAGTAGTAAATAACGATGGCGGCGGTGACGTAGAGTGAGATTTCGAAGCCCTGCAGCAGACACAGCGCCTTGGGGAAGTCCTTGGGTTCCTCCATCTCGGCGATAAGACCGAAGAAGGCGACATGGGCGCAGTAGGCGAACATGATCTGGGTAACACCACTGAATGCCGTGTACAGGTTGGTCTCGGTGGTGATGCTGATGTTCTGTCCGCCCTTGTACTGGACACCGACACCGATCATGGTGATCATAACCGCAGAAAAGATACTCAGGAAGGCTATTCCATTAGCGTCGCTCTGCACAGACGGGGAACGGAAACCTACAGGCAGTGGAGATGTAGGTCAAATTCTTGATGGTGCGGGGCAGCGAGAGAACAAGACAGATGACGAACGCGACGATACTGAACACGATCGAGCAGGTACCGTGGTCGGTAATGGTGTTCATCATAACGGTGAAAGTGACAATATGGCTACCCATGATGAAGATGGAGAAGAGGATCTGGCCCAGACCGAACAACTCCCGGCCAAAAGTGCCCATGAGGATCTCTCCCGCATCGGCAAGGTTGTGGATGTAAGGGTGGCGTTCACGGAATTGGCCAATGACATAACCAGTGTAAAGGGCGAGGATACCGAGACCGATGATGAGAATGAGAGAGCTGCACCGGTTAGCCGCAGCGCAGAAGCATGGAGGCGCTGACTTACGGAACAAGACCCAGGGCCGTCATAGTAGCCGGAAGAGACAAAACACCGAGCGACACGGATTCAGCAATCATGACTAGGCTGGTTAGTATCTCGCAATTTGCAGTTATCGTTCTGATCACATACACATTCCGCATTGCCTAGTGCTATTAGCCTGTTGTCTATCACCACGCACGACAGAAGTACTTACCACCACTTCAAGGTCTTGTACTTGACCTCCGCATTAGCTTCATCGCCAAAGGCGTCCACCTCGGGCGCACCATCAATCGCCTTGAGGTCCTCCACGTCCTCATCCTTCTCCCGCTGACTCTTGGGCTCAACCGCATCGGGCGGAGGGGCAACGCCGTCCAAGCGCATCGTGACTAGAAATGGGAGCTGTGTCTAGTTGCAGATAGACGCAAGTAGCAGCAGCAGTAGCAGCAGCAGCTAATGTGCCGATGAACGTGAAACTGATACTAAAAAATTCTCACGGGTGGGTCGATGACGATCTGGTCCTCCGCTGGCTGAGCCTCTGCAGGATGAGCTGCCGGCCACACAAAGGTCGAGGTTGAACACGGAGGAAGACGAAAGGCCAGATGAGAGAAGGAAAGGAAGAAGGAAGGAAGAACCAGAAGATAGAAAGGCAGGTAGATACCCTGCCACGTTGAGTCGCGGTTACTACATCGGGGGGGAGCGCGGGCGTGGCTTGTCCGTTGAGAGGCCGAGGGCCGTGCCCATCCGCTAATTGCATCTGCATCTAGCTTTTTTTTCTCATACAATTTTCCTTATCAGCAGCATAATTAGTTAGCCAGCATCGAAGAAAGCGAAGATCCTGGTGTTCCTGCCCCACCGGCCAGCAGTTTCTTTTAGTGTATTTTTAGCTGGGCGAACCAATAAGGCAAAAGAGAGGTTAAAATTAAGTAACAGAAAGGCTCCCGCCCCGCCCAACCCTGCCGCGCCCCGACGATAGCCGCGTCTCCGCCGGACGCTGATTGGTGCGGTGACCCTGGCCCTGGTCGGCTCGGTGGGATTCCGATTGTGCTTCTAGAAAGCATTGTTACATCTGCTTGCCACTTATCGCTTTTTCGCGCCTTTCATGACTGACACAAATGACTGATCATTAGCTCATCGTTTGCTCGTCAGCTAATCGCTCGCTTCTGATTGATGGACACTGCTTTCCTTCTTGCATCTCGGTCTGCTTTGAAAGCGAAATCCCCGCGGCAAAGCTCCACCCGCTGCAGGCCATCCGCCTTGCCACCCACTACCTGCTCGTTTCTCCGGATATTGTTTGCGGGTTAGCGTCTGTTTCAACGACGACGGAAACCCGAGTTATCCGGGTGCCTAGGAATTGTGCCGCGTATTGCTAGGCTGCATATCAGGCAGGTACCGGCGTGTTTGGGTCCGAAGACAGCACACCATGTCTATCGCCGATGCTTTCCAGAAGAGCTTAAAGTTAAAAGTAGCAGTCCAAGATAGCTTGGACGTAGTACTTTCCAATTAGATCCTAAAGTTCACAAAGTATATGCTCCGCAGCGTTTCATTGGCAATGTGCTTGTTTCAATTGGCATCGCAGCTGCGGCCAAACGCCGTCATAGGGATATATTGTTCTCCACACATACTAGTAGTAGTATTGTCTTGGGGGTGGTGGTACAACGATAGAAAAGCACCACTGGTGGTAATCTTAAGAAGACTTGGAATTAGCAGATTGCAGGTCTGTAGTCTATTATTCTTATAATCCGATCTATGACAGATTAATCTTTCTCTTCTGTCCATCGAAACCCTGTACTCTGGAGAAATTCATGTCTCATTTATGAGAGACATTATCTCTAGGTTTACTACATATTTTTGCGGAATTTTATTTTTCCTAAGAACTGTAGTATCATTTCATATTACTTCTCCCCACAGGCCAGGGACCAATCCATTACTTATCTCATTAATGTGACATTACATTTAAGGATACTACTACTAGCTGTAAAATTGAGGTGCAGCTCAGAGTATTCAGTGGCATCAAATGTTTACTTTCGCGAGGCTCTACCTACATTGCATGTATCCGCTGTGGCCTCACCGCGCAGTATACCCTCCATCAACAGGAATCACAGCACCCGTCATCCAGTTGGCATCCTCACTCGCCAGTGTCACAGCCACCCGCGCAATGTCATCCGGCAACCCGGGCCCATTAAAGGGATGTCGTCGGATCAAGTCCTCCGCAGCGTGCATATACTCCGTCGTCTCTTGATAGATGGCTGTCCGGGTATCTACATGCCTTGTCAGTCATCACTCACGACTATCCCTAGACAGGAGACTTGAACACTAGGTTATAATACTTACAACCCGGACAGATAGCATTCGCATGGATGCGATCGCGCGCATAATCCAATGCCACCTGACGCGTGAGATTACTAACAGCCCCTTTGGAGGCACAGTACGATGCTATCACAGCTTAGCATCATCATCAATGCTATGTCATCTGAGATGGATCAACCTACGATTCTCTGTCGCTGCCACAATCCCAAGAATGGATGACAAGTTGATGATCCATCCCCGATCGCCCGATGGATGCGGATCCTGCTTCAACATCTGCGTGATGGCATACTTACTGCCCAAAAAGACCGAGCGAGTGTTAATCCGCATGGTGGTATCGAACAGTTCATTGGTGGTTTCATGAATTCGAGCCGGGGTACGGGATTCCAGAGAGACGCCTGCATTATTGACCATGCTACACATAGATTGTCAAGTCGTCAGCTTACATGAAATTCGATCCGAGTCATGTCACACATACATATCTAACCGACCAAATTGCTGTGCAGTCTTCAGCACCGCATTTTCCATCTGCGATGCATCTCCCGCATCAGCCTGGAGGAAGAAGGCCTGTCCCCCCTTCTGACTGATCGCATCGTGGGTAGTAATGTCCAGTTCATTTGGCACCGGCGAGCGTGCAGTCGGAGTGATGTCCGCACAGGCAACCTTGGCTCCTTCCCGAGCATAACGCAAAGCAATGGCCCGTCCAATTCCCGAGGACGAGCCAGTGACGAGAGCAACCTTGTTGAGAAGACGCATGATGGAAATGGCTGACTCGGTAGACAGGGTAGCTGTGTGGTAGCTCTACCCGACAGCTATGAGGAAAGGGATCAACCTGATATACCGATTACTCCTGGGCCCTCGTATCGAGGGACAGACATTGTCAGCCGAGACGAGCGATCCATTCGTAATCCTGCAGCTGTTTAGTGGTCAACGGTGAGTTTTGCTGCATGATACTGAGGGGTTTAGCCTGTTGTTGGGAGTTGTGCGGGGTAGAGGCGGTCGATGCGAACCAGATAAAGAGATATTATCCCTTGCGGTCAATTGAGTTGCACAGCAGCAGCTCTCTCGGAGCATATCCGATGCTATGATTGAACAACAAATACTGCATCTGCATATACCCCACCTGCTGTTTCTCTTCTGGTGTACCCTCATAGCGTTCACGCCTACAAGTGTCCCAAACAATATACTAGAAGTTAGCTGAATAGAGCAACAAGCCAAAGTGCCGTGTGAACAGTATATCGACTTGAGAGATCCTCGTCCGGAAGGTCATCGATGCGACCGCTGTCTGTTGCCGACTTTCCCAGAAGTGAGGATCACACTGTAGCCTGCGTTAAATGCCAATGAAAAGGTGTTAGAACCACTAATTGCAATAAAACCATGGCCGGAGATACATCGAGCATATACCCAGTGCCATACGCTATACCCAACTCCAGAAACCGATATATGTGTTGGTTAACAGCAAGATGTTTTATCAATAGAGAACGATACACTCCCTTCAAACATGACGGAATAATAGAGGTCATAACCCTAGCTAGCTAACCAGCTACCAACCCTACCAACCCTACTTACAATCCCCAGATGATCACATAACCAGATAATCACATACATACAAGCATAGCCACACACCAGCCTCACCCAAACCACGCATGATCACGATTCATGTCAAAATACCTATTAGCTCAGAGAATGGAAAGAAGGAAAGAGGCGAGAAGAAAACTCAAATTCGGAAATATCCGCTAGGGATGACCGTAGACCTAATTAGGACGTGGGCTGTGCAGGAATGCTAGGGTGCATCAAGTCATGAAATGAGCAAAGCCACCCCCTCCTTCACAAGGGGAGACATACATGCCAAATACAAACTTAAACGAGCGGAAAAGGATTGAGAGCCTCATTGATTCATTGTAAATGACATGCCATTCCCATCGACTCAGACACTCATTTATGGTCGGAGGGTATTTTCCACGGAGGTATTCTCGGGCCATAAAGGAGTTATCGATCAGAAAGTTTGTGCGATGCGTATGTTGATGGATGGATATGTTGATGGCGTAGCACAAGGAAGAATGTTCACAAACCATCCTGACAGAGATCCGGGATGTCCATTTTAGGTAGGAGTATTCAATCCAATGATCCGGTTGCCATCTTCAGTAGATTCAGATGAATGTATATTACACATTGACAAGGCTTCAACACCAGTAGCCAAGCTACCGCTACGGCGGCGCTCCCGTCCTCAAGATAGGTTAATGGCGGTGGGCTGTTGAAGATTAAGATTAGGGTTAACGGAAGGATGCAAGGCAACGCAGTGCTAAGAGACTAGTGCATCGAAGGCGTTGCGAACCTAGAAAGAGGGTTCAATGTTCTATCCACAGTAGTATATTAGGTTGCTTCCGCGTGAAGCTTATGTGTAGTGCTCAATTACAACATCCGTTACCTCCGGCTCTTCAGCGTGACTTTGTAGGGACCACCGGTTGCGAAGCGCAGCTAAGCCCGGCCCACTACTCATTCGGTTGCTCCGTCGCACGCCAACTGAGCGCACAGTCATGTTGCGTCCCAATCCAGTCGAACCAGGGCCACGGCTCTGCGCACTCTCTTCCAGTTTCAGCACCAGTCCAACCGCTTTATGGTCTTCCGTGAGCTTGGGCCGTCGCTTAGCAAAGTATCGGGCATATTTGTACAACGACCAATAATTGCTTCCGACATTGATGATAGCGATCATGATTTTGTAGGGCATCTGCAATCCAGGGTTAATCTGAAGTCCATCCCGCAACACTCATATAGGGGAATCATCTTACATAGTAGAAAATTATAATTTTTAAGCTGATCCGCTCCTGCTTCAGCCGCAGGTGAATCTCGTTAAAGATAATGACGTTCAGAAGGTACAAGGCGAAGGTGGCCATGATGAGAGAAATGCAGAACTTTGGGCGGACAACCAGGGATATTGGGAGGATGAACGGGGCTAGAATGGCAAGGACAGTCTCATATAACTGGTACACGTTAGGTCACATTGTTGATCTTAGATCTCCTTGAGTGGAGTTCTTCAGGGGAAGAGAGAGTGGACATACCTCCTGCAGTACGAATAGTTTCGTGCCGATTTCATATACCCCCAATTTCCATGATTTTACGAGATAAGTTACATTATACCGCAAGCCATTGACAAGAAAGAAGTTCCACCGCATGAATCGCTGCTTGAAAACGGTCATCTCCCCAAACCCACCCCGTCTTTTCCCCGCAGCGTAGAGAAATGAAGGGGGTGCGTGGGTTTCCACAAACACAGAGCTGCACATCTGGATTCTTCCGCCTAGCCGTCGACAGCTGTTGCCCAGGAACCAGTCTTCGCTGATCGAGAATCCGGGATGATCCTGAAGGGTGTCTCGGAGAAATGACCGTTCCCAAAGAGAAATGGCCCCATGGGGAAATGTAGCGCTGCCGATGCGTCCGGCAAAGGTGCGCTGCAGCCCCGCCAGCTTGTACTCCAGATCCTGCGCTTGCTGGCAGTATGTCCCTGGAGAGGAGTCTGCAGCAACAGCCTTGATCGTGTAGCCGATACAGCGGACGGTGTCGCTAAGCCGGGACACTACGACGGGGAAGGTAGGCGGCAAGATGCAGTCGTCGTCGATAAGAAGAGCATAGCGAAATTTCTTAGCAGCATAACATCCAACGAATAAGGCGATGATCTTCGATCCAACTGGGCTCCATATGTGGTTAACTCCATAGGGGCGACAAACCTCCTCAGTATGGTCAATTGGTGTCAGGGCATCTCCGTTCGCGATTACGAATATGTGTGATGGAGGGAAGATCTTCACAGCTGCCTCGAGGGTCCGGCCCAAAACAGATGCCGCTCTGTAGCAGGGGATGAGCAACGCAGTATCGGGGGCTGTCGGACTGATGCGGCGACTCTCATAGAATTCGTGATCCGGGGCGTCGTCCTCAAAGGTAGCGAGAAGTGGCGTGAATGAGTAGCTAGGTAGAGGCGAACACGGAACAATAAGCAACGTCTCTTCATGGCTTCGGATGGGCAGAAACCTACAAGACTGCCAGGCTGATGACAATGGCCCAGCCTCCCTGTAAGATGAACTTGTGGCGCATCACCCAGTACAGCCAGTAGATAGCACCTTTCCACAGAGGCATCCCCACCAGCACGAAATACACGAATGCGACATAGACCGTGTATGTGCCATATTCAATCACCAACTGGACCCAGTATCTCCGTTCGTGCTTAATGTTTACCAAAGTCGCCCGGTTGTAGAGGGTTCCCAAGCTGCTATCGCGGGCTCGACCCACCACACTGCGCAAAGACTGGCGAAAAGCTTTCGCGGGTTGACTGAACCTTCGCGTTTCGATGGCAGGAGGGGGGTCCGGTCTGATGGAAGGCTGTTCGCTCACAGCCCGAACTACTCCTGCACCGTCAGGAACTGTGGAATCAGGGATGCAACCTTCGAGCTCCACTGGATGCACTCCCTGGGGTCCATGCGGTGTTTCCACTACCACCTGGTCCTCTAGGAGCGGGTATATTGTCCCTCTGCCTTCCTCCAAAGCCCCCGAGTAGATCGTTTGTCGCCGTCGGGCATCGCCTGGATTTACTCCAGTGGCCGGATAGCTGGCGCCAGGTTTTCTTCGCTTGATGACAGACACCTCCTCCGCTGGGTTTGGAGCAATCGGCTGCGGGGACCAGGTTTGCAGGGACGCCTGGTTCCATACCTGCCTGAGTGACGCGGCAGCTAGAAGAGACTCGGGAATAACAATTTCCTCTGTGAGGGGCTCATCGAATGGAGTAATCATGCTGCCTGAGTGAGGCCACTCCGCAGGATCAAGGTCATGAGAACAAGCCTGGGGAGGCCCCTGGCATAGTTCCCAATAAGGGCCAGGGGTCTCTCCGGGGCCAGCATCCTCGGCAGCAGAGGGACTGTGCATGTAGGGTGGTTAGCCTATCGCTACCGCACTTCAGACCGGACTTGTGACCTGTCACTAGGTGCGCGCTTTGGGCCGTCCACCTTTATCTATATGATGAATATTGTCGACGATCGGCCGTCACGGAATGTCTGAAGGTCGAATTCGATGCGTGTCTCTTTCAAAGTGGTTACACAGGTCGAGGCCTGAAGGCCTCTTATCGACCGAGTCATGACATCTACACGATGGCATGATTGTGCATTAACTACCCCATAGACAATAAACACTGCCTTCACCACGTCCAGCGGAGATCCGAGTCAGCGCCATGCAGTGAAAGCATAGCTGGCTTGAAGTATGCTAGGCTCCTTGCGCACGGACCGAGGATCTGGGGCATTTGCCTTGGTTTTTTACCCTTATTTTAGTCCTACCTTATCTGGTATTAGTCAATATGCAGTCGTATTGTTTTATTTCCCCATGATCCGAACCCTAAAAGAAGGGCGAAAGCTCCTCGTTGCAACTGAGCCGATCGGGATGATCATTTCGTTTCACGGACAAGGACTAGATTGTTCCTGCAGGCTCGGTGAGAGTTTGTCATCCCCGCCGGTCCTATGGACCTATCCAACAGCTTCACGTCTATTCCTTCAGGCCTCTAGCTGAATTGGTGTGGATCTTCTGCGGCCGGCACCTGGCGTCACGGCATCCCCATCGGCGGCAAGGGGTAAACAGGGAGATCGGCGTTCCGAGACGCTGGTTTGCTGGGGCGTGCGACAGGACCAGACACTGACTCGATTCTTAGGCACAGTGGGATGGAGGTGAAGGGAGATTATTGGGAGACTGGGAGAGATGGTTTCATCTGGTGGACGGATAATAAACCCGCCCACATTGCTGGGCCGCATACCAGGAAATGGGATCCGGTAT